AGCGACCTTCAAGGATCATCAAAGTCGAACTCCTGGCCCTGCCTAGGACAGTCCAAAGACTCACACTATGTGCCTGAGAGCATTGTTCAGATGCTTCTTGAATGCTGGAAGGTTTGATGCTGTGACCACTTCCCTGGGGAGCCTGTTCCAGCGCCCAACCACTCTCTGGGTGAAGAACCTTTTCCTAATATCCAACCTAAACCTCCCCTGATAAAAATTCATGCCATTCCCTTGGGTCCTGTCAGTGGTCATCACAGAGAAGAAATCAGTGCCTGCCCCTCCACTTCCCCTCATGACAAAGCTGTAGACAAAGCTGAGTCAACGGCTCCTCCCAATTTAGTATCATCAGCAAACTTATTTAGAATACTTTTATTATCATAGGTATCAATCAGTCTGACTCCCCTCAGTTGTCTAGTATGGTATGCTTTTAAGAGTATTATCTAGTGGTTAGGACTGTCATACTCCACTGTTGGTTTTAAATTACAAATTTGTATAGATGTCTTACTGTAATTTGTTTTCTAATGTCTTATTTTTCTCTAGTTTGTTTGGGTTTTTTTTTAAAGAACTTTCTGCTTTAGCTGTGAGAATGTATTCCTCTAAAATTTGTCTGTAGTGTAGGTGACCATAGACAGTTAAAGTTAAGAAAATGTACTCTAAAATATATAGGAAGTTGAATTGCCCAACTGAACACTGACTATCTGGAACAATTATCACTTAGGAAAATTTAAAAATACTTAACATCTGTCTTAAGTTTGCTTTAAGTAGACCATTTTATTGGATGATCAGATTTTAGGGTTTACATTACACTTATCTGTTATTAGTCATTTAACTTGCATTTGAGTACTCCTTCTGCTTGTTTGTGGAAACACTACATAGGAATGCTGTATTTTTGGCTTGGTGTGCAAAGTTACTTCTCAACTGAGAAAAACTAGAAAAAGAAGTGATTGGAGTGGAAGAGTGAGTAGCTTAATCCTTCCTTTTTCACTGTTCACTGGAAAATTGAAGCAACTGACTAGATACTCAAACAGAAAGCTGTCTGCAGTTCTTGGTGCCCTCAGGTGGTTTCCTGGATTTACAGATAATGCAGGAAGCAATGTTACTGTGTGAGCTTTGCCCATCACCCCTGCCTTGTTGATTGGTTGGTCAAGCCACAGTCAATAGCCTGGCTGCCATCTTCACTCTGCTATTGCTGTGGGCTGTGGGCTGCCACACAGCTGGGGTTGTGTGATGATTTTGGTTTTGTTTTGGTTCTAATAACGGTATGCCACTAGGCACATGTTATTTGGACTAGGATAACTATTTTATTCCCCCCTACCTCCCATCTGGCTGCATGTTCTCTTTGATGAGGATATTTTTAAGATTAACATCTTATAAGGCACCTTGAGAACCCTGTTTTTAGTGCACGTCTATTCATTGACTCATGCAATCTCATAAATTATTTTTATTTAATGTCAGTTTTAAAATATTGTTGAACTGGATGTGTGTGTGATTGTTTCTATATATGTAGATGTAAAGAAAACTTCCAGTAATTTCTGTTTCATGTTAAGAGAAAAGGTTGTATGATTTACTCTCTAAATTTTACTCTGAAGTCCAGCTTTCTGTTACCTCAGAAAGGAACCAAACCTGACATACAACACCCAGTTTTTCTGAGAATTATCCATTTCTGGCACTGTCAAAAAGCAGCCTGGGTAGAAGGATGGCTTCTACTGGTGAGAGTATCAAGCATCTATCAAGCATCTACCAAAAATAATTAGTGAATGAGGGTTTGGATGGCCAGAAAGGGTTCAGAGTGCTGATGAAGGAAATGCTTATGACAACTGTAGGTTTATTATGAGGAACTATAAACCACTTGGAACTCTTCTTGTACTTATTTCTCAAAGCTTTTTTGTTGCAAGAGGAATTGAGAAAAAACTAAGCCACTGTGATGGCTTTCTCTGGCAGCTGTTTGCTAGTTGGGACTGTAACAAATATTGTCTTCTCTGCTGCTTTTAAAGAACGGGGGAAAAAACCCCAAATCTTTAAATATTGCAAACAGATTTACAACTTTTCTGGGGGGAAGAATATAGAAGTTTGTGAATGAACTTACAGTATTAGCCATTTATACTAGTATTTGGTATATCCATATAAATCTAAATATAAATCCCTTTTTTCTCACTTGAATAACCTTTCTAACTTTTCTCGGTTCATTGAAAGAAGGTGTCTGAATGAAGTCTATGTCATTGTCAGCAGGTGTACACAGCAAAACTTCATTTTGTGATACAGAAGCCTTTAGCAGTGAAGGAGCAAAATTTTGAAATTCACAGTACTTGCATAGCTAACTGCATAGTGAGATTATAGCAACTTTGTTTGCATGCCAACCTGTTTAAATATATTGATTTCTTTAATAAGGGTAATTATTGTAATGCATTCCACTTAAATAGAATTACACATCTTGGAAAGGACACACGAAGCACCTCAAAGGCACATTAGACTCAGGAAATGGTAACTTCCTCCTCAGTCTAACTTTTGTATGATAAGCAGAATATTTTTTTCCTTTGCTATAAGACATTTCTTGAATGTTAATATCACTTACAAAACAATGCATTAATTACTGTTTTCCATATGGAAGGAACCCACTGATTTTCGGGTATTATTTTTGAAAATTGGATCATTGAAATAGGTTGTTCTGCAAGCAGTAAAAAATTTATTTTCCTCGCCAGCCTGTGCATGCGAATGAGGTGCTACATAAAATAACAGAGATTCAATAAGGACTTATACTACAATCTTTTCCCCAAGAAATATTTATAAGATCTCTCTCCAGGAGTCTGTTTTCGAAACAGTTTTAGAAACTAAATAGCTTTAGTTTTCTACCACTCTGTCTAATTTGAAAGGATTTTTAAAAATATTGAAGAGAGACCTGACTAAAACCACAGTCATATTAATCATATTTCCTTTGAAAACTGGGGTTAAAAACAGCATTACTGGATAAGGGGCTCTAGTTTTCTGATACTTATTAGAATTTTGCTTAAGATAAAGTTGAAGATACTAGCTGTTCCCAGGAATGTTCTTTCTAAACCTCTAGTAATTTTTATATGAAAGGTAGTGTTAAAACTGAGAACTAGTTTCTGTGTCATCTCTTTTCTGTGAATCAATACCTAAAGGTTTTATTTGATAAAAAGTACAGCATGTGATGTCAGCATGTGCTGTTAACATCTGAGAAGTAAGTTATCATAGTATTGAAAAGACATAGGAATGCAAATTCCTCTTTTATTGTATTCCTTGCCATCTTCTTTACCCATATCCTATCCCACTCCTTCCTTGGTGATAAATATGCCAGTGAGAGTCAGTGTGTACTAACATAACAACAAAGAGAGCTAAAAAGGGTAAGAAAAATTATTCAGGTTACCACTGTGTTCTAGTCTTTTGTTATTGTCTGTCCAGGCAAGGCCACTGTGGCTCTTTCTCAGCTTTGTTTTGTGCCTCTCTATCTGTTGATCCAAACTCTCATTCATATTTTCCCTTGTAACTTCCCTGAGAAGGACACTCGGTATGTTTTTCACTTGATGATAGAGATCTGCTTCTTCTATGAAGTAGCCCTTAGCTTTCCCTCTGGGTTGTAGTTAAACAACAAGCATTTTGTGCCTTCATGCACATGCAGCTGTCAGCCAGAGAACAGAGGAGTACTGCCTGGGTATCTCCCAGACATATTAAAGAGTTGCCTCATCCCAATTTCCCTTGAATCTGTGGGAAGAAGCCCAGTAATTCCTTTGCTTTTGAGGGCATTACATTAATTCCATAGATAAGTTATTGACAGAATATATATTGCAAAAGCTTAATAAAGAAGCAATAAAACCTTCATAGAAGGTTTGAAATAGATTCAGGCCATTATAGGTAAGGAAAAAGGAGTGAGGCTGTGCCCACTAAACTTTACTCTAGAGCTGTTTTCTGAGCAGTAAAACTCTAGGAACAGCCTCTGCATGTATTTGAAAATCTGTTTAAAGAGCAAAGATTTTTTTTTTTTTTTTAGCCTTTAAATACTGGTGATTTAACACAAAAATAATTTCCCCTGGTTTCCAGAAGTATTCCACTGTTTTGTGGATTGTTTAAAACTGAATCTCATGGCCCACATGTACTCCAGGGTTTCCAGTTCTGGATATTTGTCCAGACCTACCAGTTAGATGTCAGGGCAAAATTTGGATAAGTACTGCTGTCATCAGTGTAGATTGCCACTTCTGTGGAAAGGAAAAGTCCCTTAGCCTGGTCCAGTAGTAGATCAGGTCCCTGTGGGACATGTGAAATGCTGCAGCAGATAATCTAGATGCAGACACATAGAGCATGTAAAAACAGTCTGTAAATTAGTACAAAAGGTATATTAGAATTAAATTCCATTTTATCAGTAGTGGTGATCTATGACACATATCAGCCGAGTGTTGCATGAAATACAGATCTAATACCTGTGTTTGTTGATAAAGAGAGGGAGCAAAAGCCTATTGGTGTTCATTACTGTATGATGACTGAGCTAAACCAGATTACTGAAAACATCCTTGAAATGTCTGAATGTTTAGAAACCAAAACTAGCCTTCAGACTGATATCCTTTTCCACTCAGTAATGAATCAAGTGTCTGTTTCTCAGAGGTCATTTTTGTATACAGATGTGAGAAGAAGAGGGGCAGAGCACTGACTGCAGAACTTGAATTCTGCAAACAAGAAGTGTTTATATGATACACAGGTGCATTAATTCTTTGATATGCTTTTGCTGGTAGTATATTTTAAATCGTCAGTGAATAAAAGCTTATTATTTAAAACAAAATTTTGATGAGTCAAGTATTTTTGCAGTAGACCATAGAAGAACTTAGAATTGAAGTTGCTCCTTTTTACCTCTCAGAACCAAACCCTACCTGTGTGATTAGCTGCTTTTACCCTGTAGTCTCCCGAAACCTTCCATCTGAAACCTGTCCTTTTCTGTCTTCCCCTTTTTACTCTTCTTTGTCTGCACTGTTTATCCATCTACTGGCTGACAGTGTCTTTACATCCAAAATGCAAAGCAGACAGATGGGCGTCTCAGGAAAGAACATGACTAAGAGCACCAGCATCAGCGGGGACATGTACACGCTGGAGAAGAACGATGGCAGCCAGTCTGACACAGCAGTGGGCACTGTTGGTGGCGGCAGCAAAAAGAGACGGTCCAGCATCGGTGCAAAGATGGTCGCCATTGTGGGTCTCTCAAGAAAAAGCCGCAGTACATCACAGCTCAGCCAAACCGGTAGGAACTAGATTGATTTTCTCTCTCTAATTACCATTTAAATGTACATAATATTTGTGTATTACAGTTTAACCATTTGGAGATCCTGTTGAAGTTGCCTAATCAACAGTATTCTATGGAATGAAGAAAATGGTCGAACATCTTTTTTCTCTGGACATTTACTAAACATTATTTTTTTTTTTTTTAGCAAACATCCTTTTCAGGTTGGACTGAAGCTTTTATTTTCTGTTTGCTGGAGCCTACTTAATGCACTCATTCCTTGCTTCTCAGGAACCAACATGAGCTGTACTTCTGTTTTGGGAAAGTCCTTACAGCAATTTGTCAAGGGTCACTGGAATGTTGCAAAATACCTTTGCTTTTGTCACACATAGTGTTTGCATATTTCAACAGGAGTTTTTTTCATATATGAACATGCAGTCTTTTTTTTAAACAAAACAGTTTTCCTGAACAAAACATTATGTTTTATTAATTTAGTGTAACTGTTTTATTGCTTTTTAATTCATTTCTTTTCAGCCTACAAGTGTATTCACCATCAATATAAATTTTGGTCATTTCCATTTATCTCAATTCAAATTTGACACTGAAATATTCTACCTAGGAAAATGGAGAGTTTTTCTGCTTTGATGCCTAAAGCATTTAAAATCTTATACAATTTTTCTATTTCTTCCTATTTTGAGGAAAATCCATATAATACACTCTGAAAAGCTCTTATTGTCAATTAAGGAAGCTGTATAGCATAAGTGTGTTTTACTTGGAAAAAAAATTACTTCTATTTGAATAACATATGTATAAAGAGTGTTTAAGCAATTTATATAGTTGTGCATGTATATTATATATTTCAAGGTATATACATAAGATATATTGTATGTTCAGTATTTAAGAAAAATTGCTGCAATTTTATCATATGGATCAACATAAGTTTATAGTGTCCAGCTGTGTGAGGTCCCATCTAAGATCTCCATTGTGCTAACCACCATTCAAGCATGGATAAGAGATTTTTCAGTTCTCTTCCATGGTTGCAGTTTGTATCATGAAACCAAAGTGATGAGAGTTTTAATGTACTACTAAATAGAGCAAAACAGTGATTTGTACTGTCAGAAATTGTGGTAAATTTTTCACATAAACTTTTGGAGGAGGGAGATTTAAAGTACCTGGAAAGAGTAGAACTAAAAAAGAAGGGAAAAGAAGAGGGATTACAAACAATGCAGAAGAGGGAGGAGTACCAGAAGAGAGCAGGGAGCTTGAGTGTGTGACTTGAATGCAATATGAGACAAGGGAATGAAGAAGAGGGGAAAAAAAGGTATATAATGAAAGCTCTGAATATCATGCAGACAACTGAGGACTCCATCAGTAGGCAAGTCGTTGCAGCAGTCTTGTGTTTCACCAGCTCACTTGCAGATTATGGAAATGGCAGTTTTATGTACATTTCTATTTTCTCTGAGTTCAAATGAATGACAGAAAAAAGATGAAGTCACCTTTAGACAAATCTGGGAAGTGTCTGGTTGGACAAGAAAAAAATTAACCACTTGCTCATCTAGAAATCTAAATTTTACTCTTGTTTTAGTATAGAGCTATGTAACTGTATTGATATATTTGATTATGAAGTCAAATGCAATGCACTACATTACCATTTCTGATCTAATCTGGTGTCTCATACTGTAAGAGCTATTAAATGAAGGATGGCAGCTCTTTGTACAATATTCAAGGATACCTCAGCACTAGAGAGAATCTATATTGTGTGGCTGGCCTAGATTTGATTTAAATATCACGCTCGTCTTAGTTATTTGGTAATTTCAATCTGAAGTTCTTCTCTCTATAATATCTAATCAGTTGCCCAACAACTTATTAGATGCTTGTCAAGGAAAAATGTGAAAAATAATTCTTTCAAAAGTACTCAAGGTCTTTTGACCCATTGACTGTGAATAGGGTGTTCTGAAAAATTGTTGGATAAGGAGGTATATTTTAGCACTGTTAGAATAGTAGCAGAAACCAGGGGAGCCTGCATGGCTGTGGTGGGCATCTCCCCTCCCTCAGCTGTTCCCTGGGAGATGTCTGTGCTCAGGGCTGACCTGTACCTGGCCCCAGTGACAGCAGATAGTGCACCTCCTGCTGCTGTCTTCTGAAAAGGCCTCTCATGTGTTGGCTGGATATGGGAATAGGGGTTGTTTTGTAGAGCTGTTACTGCACACCAGCTCCTGCTGCCCTGTTTGACAGTGCCCCTGAGGGGCCTTTTTGGTGGCCACATGTGGCTGCACCTAACAGGACAGGCACATGCATCGTTTAAACAGCTGGGTCATGTGGTAAGCAAGCTTGTGGCCACACTTCAGCCCCTGGATGAGGTGTGTGTATGGTACTGTGGCTCTGGTGACACAAGGTGATGGCCTTTTGGGTGGGTGAGGGTGAGGTCCTGCCAGGAAGAAATGTCTTGCATGTCTTAAGCTTCTTTCACAATAAGAATGGTGAGACACCAGAAGAGGTTTCCCAGAGAAGCTGTGGATACTCCATCCGTGGAAGTGTTACAGGTCAGATGGAATGGGGTTTTGAGCAATCTGATCTAGTGGAAGGTGTCCCTGCCCATGGCAGGGGACTTGGAACTAAATGATCGTTAAGGTTCCTTCCAACCCAAATCATTCTGTTTCTACCCGTTGGTACACCTTAAAGAAAATGTTGGACACCAGTGCTGTGCACTAATACCAGAGGACTAAAACTTGCAATTAATGTATTTAATTAATTTATAAATTTCTCTGGTTTGTCTCATCATGTTCCCGTTTTCAGATGGTAAGTGCCTGCACAAGGAATCATGTATTGATACAAGCTGGGATCAAGACACTAATGTTCTGTAGACATCCTGTAAGTACAGTTTTCTGAAACTGAGAGGCAGGGGATACTCAGGTGGCAGTGGTCCCATGTAGAAACAGGGTCGAAGTATAAAGGGTTCTTAGGTAGTTTCTGAAGAAATTACATCATTCAGTGGATCTGCTAAGTATCTCCTTACATTTCAAGTTTGAAAAAGCATACCAATACCAGAAGATAATACTACTTCTATAGAAAGTTGTGATCGTATTTATAGCAATTAGGCTTTTATAAGCTGTGTGCTCATGTGGAAGTCAGTGAAGAAATGCCTATCTGTATCTCTGACACTTTTTTCAAGTGTTTTGTAAAGTATAGTTTTATTTCAGTGCTTTTCTTCATTCATATTTTATAACTAAAGCTATGCCAGAAGTTTTTTTGAAAGTAGGTCATCATAACTGTTTTCAGGACTGTGTATCAGATTTACAGTACATGCCTTAAAAGGTCCATTTTTAATGTCCTTTCAAAATATTTTAATACATTATCTTGTTATGTGTCATAGTATTAAGAAATTGACACTCAAAATACATACAACAATGCATTATTTATTCTGGTCTGTAATTCTTTTAGTATATTCAGGTATGAACAGTTGTTTTATGGGTAAAGGGTATGTTGATTTGTTGTTATAGGTGGGAGCAAAATGAGTAATTGTAAAATAATTATAATCATAGAATCATCATCATAATATTTGTTACATAACAACAGGGTTTAGATTTCATTCAACTATGGCTAGTGTATATTCTCCAGAACATATATAGTGTATATTCTATCCAGAGAGAGAACATGGAATATGACAAAAATCTGAATAAGCAATGATCTTTTCTCCTCAGACATTTACAATCTCAAATGCCTAGAAATTACTAATCTGGTAACTCTGCTGACCAAGCCCATCAAGGATAATGGAGATTTAAAAAAAAAAAAACCTTAAAAAAATAAGATTAAAATAACAATTTAAGAAGTTGTAAAGATCTGATCTCAACATGGGCAGTAGGAATGGATCTTTTGAAGTTATCATAGCAAGGAAATCCAAGTGTGCTTTCATATCCATTACTTGAGAAGACCTTCAGTGGTGCTCTTTGGATCACTATTGTTGAGTGATAAGAAAGTGCAGAAAGTATGTCAGTCTTAAGAGCATTTGAATGCAGAAAACTTGAATAAAAATAGATGAGACTCATTGTCCGGTGTCTATTTGGGCTTAAAAGAGAGTTGCAGTTTATTTTTTTAGAAGTTCATACTTCTTTTAAGGATGTGTATCAGTGCTGTAATATTTTGTTCATGTTATTTAATTTCATGAAAATTTTAAGTGTGAGAATATACAGGATCAGTATTTTGTGAACTGACTTGGCTTATTTCAAAGCAATTTAAAAAAAAGAGCATAGAAATTCTTTAATCTTTGAATAAAACTAAAAGTTGGATGGCACAAAAGTATTTTTACTTAAAGTAGCTTTTACTTAAGACTTCAGTAAAAGACAAGATACTGCAGAGTAGAGTGGCAAGACAAACTAGAATTTATTTTACTTCTGTTTCTTGTACCTTCTCAGAGCTACAAAAAATACAGTCAGACATCCCTTTCAACTTCCATGAGCTCTCCGGCAGGCAGATACCTGGGTGTCTTTACTTCAATTATTTAGCTGACATTTCTCCTTTAGCTGGGAAAATATTTTGTGTTTTCTTCAGTTATTCAAGATCTATTATGTTTGTAGGCTGATTATATCCAAAAGCCTGAACACTTTAATTTATGTTTTCAGAATCTGGAGCACTCCATGGATCATACATACTAAAACATTTCCTATGTGTATATATATATACTCAGTCACAGGTACAGGGTCCAGTGTACTCTTGGAGACTGAGTCCCGTGATGTCTTTGGGCGTATGATCACAGTAGATGAAATCTTTTGAAAGAGACGACAAAAGGCATGTAACAGCATGACTTGAGAGTGATCAGTGCAGCAATGCCTGCAGAGAGGTGTAACCACATGTTTGCTCAGAAATAAATGCCCTTGTGTGTCTCTGTAGAGTGTTGCTCCAAGGTGCCGTGCTCCAGAGGACCCCGCACACCTACGTGTAGCAGACGGTGCTGGGGGGCAACTGAAGCTGCCTGAACTGCGGTTTCTCTGTGCCAACATGTTGCTCCTTGTCAGCTAAGTCCT